CCCCAAAACCCCAAAACCCCAAAACCCCGAGAGAATTAATCCAAATTTGGAAATTAGTTCTAATTTCAATTTATTATTTTTATAATTGGCTATAATGGGATCAAGTTCATCTACATCAAAATAGAAGCAAATCATCAAGGTTGAGCGCATCAATCAAAATATTAGTATTTAATAATCTGTTGGGCCAGCTGAAATTAGACCGAATATCAATAATTATAGCTCATCTCCTTTAAGACAATAGTAGAATCAATATCATTAATAATAGCAGAACTAGTAGTTACCTGTATTACTCTAGGAAATCTATACTTAGCAATATCAAAGAAATCAATAATTTTACAATACTAATAATAATCACTAATTGCCAGCTCAACAGCATAGTGTATAATTAAACATGATGCAAAGTCATAACATGAATTTCAATTAGCCACCACCTCTTCCCATACCTTTAATGAATTAATCAGGGTACCACAGTCAATAAAGGACTCCAAGTGCAAGTTTCAGAGTAAACATCCTTTAAGATGGAATGAGGATACAGATACCTTAGCCTTAAAATATTTAATAGTTCAATAACATTTACCGTGAAAAGACAAACAAGAAAAAGGATATGAAGAACTTTACACTTAGATCATTTCTCTTAAAGAAATCAATTAAAACAGTAAGAATAGAAACTACTAGTTTTAACTCATTTAATTTAGAAAATTAAGGATGATTCTTATCTGCAAATATCTTTTAAGACTGATGCTCTTATAGATTTCTTCCTCAGAATAAATGTGATAGTAACAGAGAAGAAAGATATGTATGGAAACACCCAAGCAATGTTCACACCTGACTCTAAAAATTATGTAATTTCAATTCTTGAGTAATTTATGACAATAGGTGATAGAAAAATATATTAAGAAAGGAATGGGAATTGAAAGTGGATTTGAAGAAGTTTAATTTAATTTGGCAGCTTTGGTAGCATACCAGGATAAATTATTCAAGAGTAATGGGAATGATCATCCCATAGTATTTAGCTTATACTACACTTATAATGGAAAAAACATAAGTTCAGTAAACTACGGAGTTTTTACAAAGGATGATAAGAAAACTATAAATGGTATTAGCATAGAATAATAAATTATCATTGTAAGCAGACAAAATTTAATATCACATTTCTAAAATTTAGATAAATGGAAAGCCTTTTGAAATGAAGAATATTTATGGAATCAACGAGACTGAAACAGCAACTCCAGCTTCAGATTAAGCAATTGAAGGAGTGGCTGAAGATGAGTAAGGAAAAGAATGCCTGATTTGTTTGGCTGAAGAAAGAAGCATTATTATAATGCCTTGTGGACACTTATGCGTTTGCAATGACTGTGCTGATAAAATGTTTCAAAAAAATTATACATGTCCAATATGTAGAGGTAAAATAGTATCATTAGTTCCATTTGAAATGAGTAAAAAGAAGAAAAGATGAAGGGGTTAGAAAATATTAGTAATTTGAAACACAGGAATTTACTACTAGAGTTTAGATATGTTATTTTTATCTAATTTATAAAATTAATACCTTTTAAATTCAATCTTCTCAATATTTATTTTACTTTGCTAATATAATCTCAATCCAATCAGAAATTTCAAGCAGTGGTTGCATTCTAATTCTCACTATTGCCTTATGAATCATTATTCAACTTCATCTTTTTGCTTTCATTCTGAGAAAGCTTGTCTTCAGCTGATGTAGTTAGTTGATTGCTAATCTCATTATGAGTTCTCTTCTTTCCAATCTTAATACAAGCAGTCATATCCTTGAATTAATCAGAGTTTGCCATTGGCTTACCAAAATTCTCATCAACCTTAACTTCCTCACCCTCATCCTTCTTGATCTGCTAGATTTGCTCATCAATCTTCTCTTGATCATTAGTCTCTTAAACCTTAATTAGTATTTCTTATAGCAGTGCTTTCAATTCCTTTAAGGAATCGTTATCGAAAATAGAAGGCTGAACTAGCAGTTCTGCTGTTTTCTTGGCCTCATCAACTTTTTAACCATTTCTACCCATCTCAATAATGATTGAAGTCTTCATTACTTCTACTGCTTACTTATAAGCTTTGCTTGCTGGCTCATTCATCTTCATTTATTGATTGCAAAAGCCGATGTTGTATAAAGCACTTGCCATTAGTCTCAAATTATCAACATTGCTGGATTCATCTGAGGAGCAAAGATCAACTACCTTATCAAAGTATTAAATTGACTCCTTGTACTATTCCTTGAATGAGAATAATTCAGCTTCTCTGTTGTGCACATCGATCATTAGGTTAATTATCACTTGCTTTCTCAATGGTCTATAGGCTTCTAAGCAACCCTACGAATCCATAAAGTTTTCCATCAACTAGATTGCTATTTCAAGATGTTCATAAGCATCATCACATAATTAGCCTGCATAATCTTCAGGATCTTTATGAGGTTCATCTTATTCCAGCTAATTCAGCTACTATTTTTCCTCTTCTATTTTTGGCTCATTTTCATCAACTTTTGGTATTGACTTCTCTTCTTCCTTATCACCTTGCTTTTATTCCTCTTCTGCATTATTTGATGCATCAGGCTCATTCTCATCTTCTTCATCCTCTTCAATTTCACTTTCAGCTTCGCTATCTTCTGGCTCTGGTAGCTAAGCGACATTACCAAACACATCTGAAGCTCTTTCAACGTAGGTGATGATGTTGTTAGCCAGCAAATAGTAGAATGGAGCTTTCAATATCTGGAATTCAGGGTTCTTTTCAAGCTTTGCATCGCATAACTTTTCTATCTTTGCAGAAGCCTTAGCTGCTTTATTGATACCTTATGCAAAGTTTTCAGTTCTCATCATGTCCTTGCTCTCTTTTGCTAGTAATACAGCCGCATTGAGATATATACTTGTCTCAGGGTCAGAGAGATCATCTGTAATTAATGGCATTAGCTTGGATATTTCAACAGACAAGTATCTATTAGTGGAAATATCATTGATTGAAGGTGGAGCTGTTGTAGTGTCAATAGTAGTCTCAATTTAAGTTGGTGCTGAGGTTGATTCCATTTAAAATTTGGTTTGAGTTTGAATTAAAATTACAAATGCGGGAAATTATTCAGCACAAATTATCTAAAAAACAACAATATTGATCGATGGGGTTTTGGGGTTTTGGGGTTTTGGGG